CTTCCGATCTCGTCAGCAGGAGGCATTTCATTCAAGTCGAATCCTAGATCCTTTTCCTCCTGAACACCCTCTTCAACGGCGTGAGAGGATCCAAGTCCCTCCACAGGTTCATTCAGATCAAAGCCAAACAATTGATTAGGAGATGGTGTCACCTCTTTCCCCCCACCACTGTCAACCTCGTCAGTACCATCACTAGCGGCGTTAGTCTTCTTGGCACCACCACCTGATAAAATAACAACCACATATATATATATAATATAAAAACTACATGTATGAAAATTAATTAACACATAAAATAAAATTATCAAAAGCACACACATGCATGCACATATGACATAAGCATTGTTTGTTAATCAAGTAATTAGCCTTACCCTTGTTGTTGTTAGCACTAGGTGGTGGTTGATCTTTCGATGAGGATGAGGAGGGAAACGCTGGAGGCTTGTAGAAACCGCGGTAATCACGATTTGGGTGTGCACGCATGTGGCCAAACGCGGCCTTCCATGAAGTGAATTCTTTGTTGCAAACAGGGCAAATGGGTTTTCCCCTTGGAGGGTCTCTCACTTCGGAAGTTTTTCTTTTTTTGGGTTGGAGTACTCCCTCGCTCACCGGAGCCACAGCCACGGGGGTGGAGGAACCACCGCAAAGCTCCTCCAACACTTGCCAAGGGGTCTTCATGATCTCACCTTCGCCACCCTGCGGATTGGGTGCGTCATCGTTGGAGGGAGAATTCTCGGAAGGGTTTTGCTCCTGCATGGCAGAGAAACGAAAGTTGAGACCTTAGAATTGTGAAAAAATGGAATGGTTGTATTTATTATGCAATGGTTGAGTGTGTGTAAAAACTGCTTGGGATTGAAGGGATATATAATAGAGTTAACTAGCAACGTTTTCTTGATGTTGCTGCGTAGTACGCACCCATTTGCGAAACGATGAAACTATTGGTGCCTCTTCAGGAAGAAATATGTGTGTGTTTTTTACTTTTTTTGTCATATTTGTTAAGTTAAAGAAATTTTAATGAAATATAGCAGTATTTTGTCATATATAGTAATTTGATTGACCCCCAAATTCTTACTATATTAATTTAAATTTACATAATCTTGCCTAAATCTTGCGCAATTTTCTGATGGCTATGTTTGGAATGTATGCAAAAAGTTACTAAAATACATACAACTGAGTTAAAAACTAATTGAAAGTCGAAAAAAAAAAGTGAGTAAATGCAGTTTTCATATCATTAAACTCTCACACGTTACGATACAGTTAATTAATGACATGATTTAATTTTTTTAATGATTTAATCAACTTGCACATAATTAATAATTAATTATTACCTCAGATCAAAAAAATAATTAATTGTTAAGTTATGCGTATAAACGTAAATGAAAATATACGCAAATATTAACTAGCAAAAAAATTCTACTATATATGGAGTGTTGAGTTTTGGTGGAGGGGATATAGTCTTTCGACATGACTAACCAATATTCAACTTTTTCTTTTATGCTCACATTTGGTATTTGACTATCCTCTGAAACTCTTACGTATAAAAGATAATACTTTTAAGAAATGAAAAATCAAGAAAATATACCTAAACACTAAAAAAAATCATATAATAATACACACTCTATAATAATATAATATTTATTATTAAAAATTATTTTTATTTATACTATAAATACAATATATAATTATATATTATTAAAAATATAGGTATAAATTATAATGATACATAATCACTATTACATTTAACTTCTTTAGTAACATTTATAGACTTATATTTGTTAAAATGTTATTATAAATTAGGTTAATAGGTTATTTTGTAATTTTTTTCCTAAAAATAATACTTTAGATAGAATAACATTTTTTATTCCAATTTTCAATGCCAATATAAATAAATGACATATAAAATATATATATATATATATATATATATATATATATAATCATAGAGTAGTATTTAATTTAAATTAACTTTAATATTTGATATAGATTTTGTGATCACTATCGAATGATGTCTTCAACTTTAAATGACTTTTAAGAAATATCTAAATTAAAATTAATTAGTATTTTATAAGTTAACTAAAACTTATCAACTTTATTAATATGTTGTTAAACACTTTTATTAACATTTTTATATAATTAGACAATATTTTTTAAATGTTATCAAAAATCCTTTTTGTTATAATACTAAAATTAGACAATATTTTTTAAATGTTATCAAAAATCCTTTTTGTTATAATACTAAAATTGTATGTAAATATATATGTCAAATAAAATTATACTTATATATTATACTTATAATGAATTTTTTTTATATATTATTATATATATATAATATTTATTGTAGTGAAATAATTATATTTTAATACATATTATTTTTACATTTTATATTTTAACAATCATGATCATATATATACTTTTGAAAATAAGTTTAATTTTTTTATTTATTATTAATAAACTTACCATACAAAATATGTAATTAGTTAACAATATAAAAATCTTTTGCACCGTCTATAAATATTCTATTGACTCTATTTTTATTACGCTTTATATTATGGCAGTCAAATAAAACGTGAGAAAAACAATTTTCATATTTATAATTATATGGCAATGTTAATTTTATTTAAAAGCATATACAATTTTTTATTTTATTTTTTTACAGTAGTTACAATTATTTATTATTAAGAATTTAAGATCAAATAATTAATATTAAGTAACTCTATCATGTTCTCATACTTAATTCATTTAATTTTTTTTATAAGTAAAAAATTAAAGAAATAAAAGAAGTACTCCAAACCAAGATCTGCCAATATTAAATCCAAGAACTTAATGCAATTCAAGAAACTCATGTCCGAAAATGTTCTCACTCTCATTCTTTCACTTGATGCATTTTATAAGCAATCAATTTAAATTGAAAATTAGAATACAGGTGTTAAAACTATAACATAGTGCTCGACCCTCATCATTTATAAATGAATAACTTTTTCAATCTTGATCCGAATACGATTACACACGAGAGGCACGCTAAAATAAATTGAATTTTTAGTGGTATTTAATATTACTCTTTAGGGATAATAAAAATGATTATAAAATATTTTATCAACACATTTATTTGACAATTATTTTGCATGTTAAGACACTTATAATGGTTGAGAAAAATATATAATTTTTGTGATATTTTTATAGGTATTATTTAATATTTTTTATTATTGACACTAAAAGTTTAAAAAATGATTTTAACTTACATGTGTTTTTAGTTGTCTTATCTCTAGTTGATGCAAAACTTGTAAGGTGAGAGTTGTCATATACTTATATATTTTTTAATTGTCTTATTTTTAATCAACATGAGACATAAATTTTTTTCAATACATCACTTTCAGTCTAATATTATTGAGTTTGATATGTGAATAATGGGTGAGTGATATGATATTATCTTAAAATAGTGAATTATGAGATAATTCAATAATACAAAATTAATTTATAAGATGAGGGTTACCTTCCATTTATATACTCTTTAATTATCTTATCTTTAGTCGATGTGAGACTTTTGTTTTTTCTAATAAAATGAATTAAAAGTTACTCTTACTTTTTTACTGATCATTTTCAATAACTATTCTTATAAATATATTTTTAGTGACTATGATTTATTAGTCATTAATATTTTTATTAGATAATAAAATATAGACAATTAATTTATTATAATTAAATAATTGTAACTATTAGTAAATTTTTAGTTAGTGTAAATACATTTTTAATGGCTATTAATTATTAGTCATTAATATTTTTATTAGCTAATAAAATAGAGACAATTTTTTATTACCATTAAATAATTGTTGTTAATAGTAACTTTTGGTGTAGTGATAAAGAATATTAAACTATAGTTTTATTATTTAAATATTAAATTATTAATATCGTATAAGATATTGGATACAATTATATTTATCTATTATATATATATATATATATATATATATAATATATATATATATATAGAGAGAGAGAGAGAGAGAGAGAGAGAGGGATCAAATGATATTATGTAACTTTTACCAACTATAATGTATACGACTCAATGACTTTCAATTATAAATTCACCATTAGATTGAAAGTTTCATTCTCCTAGATCATATATATATATATATATAATTTTATATTAATTTAAGATGATTTAATAAATTTTTCATATAGATTAAAATTGATCGATGTAATATATATACATTCTAAAATATACTAAAATATAAACAATTTGATTAAATTTTAATTTTAATAAAATTTGATATTAAAATATAAGATAATTTGAAGTTATAATTCAATGGTTGGATTGATAAAATTCATTTTTAATGTAAAGTTATTAATTGGTATAATAATTGGTAAAAATTACACTAATGTCATTTGATCACTTTCCATATACAAGAGAGATCCACTTACTTTAAGAGTAAGTTTACTTAGACTTACTTCACTTAATAACTCATATTCTACATTAAATTTTAGTGATCCAACCGTAAATTAAAAGTTCTTAATGTATATATCAAGTTTAACCCCAAGCGTGTGGTTCAGCGGTAGGGGTTGATCCACGCTTAAGCAAGGTCAAGGGTTCGAATCCTGCCTTGTGTATGCGGCTGTGTTAAATCTTAGGGCTAGCTATCCCACCCTCCGCTATCGGCGCTGGATACTCTAAAAAAAAATCAAGTTTACAAATTTTTATAAATTTTAAAAACTATTTGTTACTTTATTTCTTTAATTCAAATTGATGGATAATTATAAAAATATTTTATATATTGATTTGAATTAATAAAATAAAGTATCAAATAGTTTTCAAATTTTTAAAAAATTTTACAAAATTAATTTATACATTAAGAACTTTAAATTTAACGATTTAACTTATGATCTATATTAAATTTCAATAATTTAATTATTAAATTAAAAATTTATAATGAATAGATCAAGTTTATAATTTTTTTTACAAAATTTGAAAACTATGTAATACTTCATCTTATATAATATTATATAAATTTGAAAATCCTAAACCCTAAATTCAAAAGAACGTATAATATGCAATTTTTGGATATACATCAATTCAAAACTTTATAATATGCTAAAGGGTGGATAATATAAGAATAAGACTTTCTGGTGGAAAACTTCTTACTATCTATTATTGTATTATTCATAAGTTATGTTCATGTAATTGAATATATGAACAACTTCATCAATGTATTTAAGTACTTTCTTTGATGCAATTTGGTACTCATTAATATGTACTTCATCTTTTATGAATATATTATGATTTATAAAATAATAATATAAAATAATTGCAACCTATATATTTTATTTATTGAAGGACCTCTCACTTTAAAAGTTTTTTTGGCCTCGTGCCATAATTATAAGGTCAACATTATCTTTAGGATCATTATTGTCGTCACTATTAACCTTACAAAGTTCTTACAACACTTAGCAAAAAATCTTCATCTTTATTTTTGAATTTATTTATTTAATCCAATGACCAAATTCAAACCATCTCTTGAGTGTGATTTGGTTGAATTCAAACCAGTTTGTATTTTTTTTTATTAGAAAAATTTTATCCAAAACAAATAAGTTAATGTTGATAAGTTTAAATACAAATATAAATATTCTCTAAACTTGAATCAATCCAACTATGCATCCTCTATTATGTCTAGGTAAATTTTTTACATAAAAAAAATAATACCTCAATTACTTTTTAAAAAAAAACTTCATTATATTTTTTTAATAATTTATTGTTATAATAATTTCAATATGAATATATTTTTTTTTCTTTTTATAATATCTTTGTACTCTCCCATAAGTTTATCTTCACGTAATTGGATTTTGGACAACTTCATATAGATGTATTTGAGTGCTTTCCTTTGATGTACCTAATTTGGTACTTAGTTTTAATTTGTACTCCATCTTTTATAAATATATTTTGATTTATAAAAAAAAATGAAACAGCTACAACCTACAACCTGTATTTTATATATATTACATGACTGCATGCAAATATACATATAAGAAGTTGAACCAGCGACCTTCATGTACATGTATATATATCTCAACATCTTAAACTTAATTGTTCATAGTGATGCATTACTCTCCAAAACCCATAGAATTAACAAATGCAACAATGTTAACCAACATTTCATTATATTATATATCAAACCATCTCAACTATCATCATATTCTTGATATATATTGATTTCAACAATACACACTTTAAACCCATAACTTGAGATCTTCATCCTTCATAATGGTCAGCAGGAGGCATTTGATTCAAGTCAAATCCGAGATCCTTTTCCTTCCGAACACTCTCTTTAGCGATGTGAGAGGACTTAACAGCTTCCTCCATTGATTCATTCAGATCAAAGTCCAACACTTGATTAGGAGATGATATCAACCTTTTCTCCCCACTATTGTCAACCTCATTAGTACTATTACTAGTGGTGCTACTCTTCTTTGCACCATCACCTGATAAAATAATAACCAGACATATAAAAAAAAACACATCAAAATCATAAAATAAAAAAAAATAATAAATAAATAAAAACACACACACACACACGTAACCATAGTTTGTTAATTACTCTTGTTGTTATCACTAGGTGGTTGATATTGCGACGAGGAAGCAAACACACGAGACTTGAAGAAACCGTTGTAATCACAATTTGGGTGTGCATGCATGTGGCCAAAAGCACCCTTCCACGTTGTGAAATCTTTGTTGCAAACAGGGCAAGGGTCTCTCACTTCAGACGTTCCTCTCCCTTTGGCTTGCACTCCCTCACTCACCGGAGTCACAACCACACTCGACGAAGAACCACCGCCACCACCACCGCTCACTACTACCGTCACAACCACAGGGACTCCACCACTACTGCTACCACCACACTTGCTATCACTACAACCACTCTCGCTATCGCCACCACAAAGCTCCTCCAACACTTGCCAAGGGGTTTTCATGATCTCACCTTCACCACCCTGCGGATTGTGTGTGCGAGTGTCATCAGAGGATGGAGAACTCTCGGAAGGGTTTTGCTTCTGCATGGCTGAAAAGTGAAAATGGTAGAAAGTTGATACCTTAAAAAATGGTTTCAAGAGACAACGAGAGGAGTGTTTATTATGCAATGGTTGAGTGTGTAAAAACTAGTAGGAATTGAAGGATATATAATAGAGTTACTTAACACTTTTTTTATGCTGCTGTGTATGCACCCATTGCAAAACGATGCAACTATTAGTGCCTCTTCAGGAGGAAAAATATGTGTCTCTGTGTTTTTGACATTTTGTCATAATTAATTTGTTAAGTTTGCTTAAAGAAATTTTAATGAAATATAGCAGTATTTTGTCATATATAGTAATTTAATTGACCGATAAATTCTTACTATATAAATTTAAATTTAGATGTAATCTTGCCTAAATATTTCGCGACTTTGAGCTGGCTATGTTTGGAATGCATGCAAAAAGTTACTTAAATATAAAACCGAGTTAAAAACTAATTGAACGTTGAAAAAAAAATAGTTAGTAAATGAGGTCTGAAGTTTTCATATCATTAAACTCTCACACATTCTGGATAAAAAAATTTATCTCACACATATACGATGATGTTAATTAAAGACATAATTTAATTTTTTTAATGATTTACTCAATTTGCTCATAAATAATTAATTATTAAGTCAGCTCAGAAAAATAATTAATTGTTAAGTTAAGTATATAATTAAACATAAATTAAAAATATACAGAAATATTAGCAAGCAACAAAATTCTACTATGGAGTGTTGAGTACTGTGAAAGGGATAGTCATTCACAAAGCATTTAACCAATATTCAATTTTTTGTTTAAGCTTACATTTAGTATTTGACTATATATTTAAACTCTTACCTATAAAAGATGATACTTCTAGTTTTTTAGGGAATGAAAAAACAAGAAAATTAACGCCATATGACTATATTTTGAATGCATATTATTTTTACATTTTATATTTTGACAATCTTGGCCATATATATATACCTTTGAATATAAGTTTTTATTTATTTATTATTAATTAATAAATTTAACATACATGATCATTTTTAATTAGTTAACAATATAAAAATCTTTTACACTGTTTATAAATTTCTATTGACTCTATTTTATTACATTTTATATTATGACAGTCAGATAAAACGTGAGAATTCTCATAAGATTATATGGTCAATGTTAATTTTATTTAAAAACAGTTTCAATTGTTTTTTTTTACAGTAGTTACAATTATTTATTAAGAATATAAGATTAAATAATATATATACATATATAT